TTACCTAGCTGCAGACATAGCAATTGATTCAATATACACTTTCCACTTCATGTTAGCGTAAAACGCCACTGCGGGACGGCGTAAGGAGTCGTTCTCCTTGAGGTTATAAGAAATGTATTAATATAACATTTCACCTATAGTGCGAATATATTGATAGGACTCTTTCTTTAATAATAATGAAGGTAAGCCTATAAAATAATTACTAAGTAAAGGATCGTGGTCATAGTATTTATGCTATTATCATATAGGAGCAATTAAATTAATAGAATTTAAGACAGTAAAAATGTGAAAGATATTTTGTAACATCACAGAGGAGTACAAAACTTAAAAGTAAATTCTGGGAACGCTAGTTTTATTGAGCTAGCCATTCAAATAGCTACGTTCAGTCTGTGGCTAGGTAGATTTATTGAGCCAGGCGTCCAAATGATGAAGTTGCGGTAATACCTCTTAGGGTGGCTGTTATGAGGCAAATATAGTACCCCCGACCAAAATTAAAACGTTTTGTAGTAAAGTAAAAAATTATGTTCAACAGAATATAAAGAACTCAACTAGAAATTGAACTCGGCTCTCCGATGTCTTGTTACGACACGTTATCCGATACACCATCGCACATCAAAGGATGTTTTTTCTCACCGGACTTTTTTTTGTATTTGTTTGATTTTGGGATATCCGATTTGTAATTTTCATTTTGGCTTCATCATTTTGCTAACGACCATGTATTCTCTCCTCACAGATCATGTTTAATCTTTTCTTCGCGTTTTCCTTCACTACATTCTATAGGAGATTTTGTAATTTTCTTTCTGTCTCTGCTATAAGATCTGTGACATCTGCATATCTTATGTTGTTAAGATTGTAGCCGACAACAATGAATCCTGGTTGGACTTCTAAATCTCTTAGAATCGCCTCACGGTATAGGATGAATAAGTCTAATGAGAAGACATCCTTGTGTTGTAGCATACCTACGGACGATAACGGGTATGTCCCTTATTGACTTAAATACAGTAGTAATTACTGTATGATGGTCTGCATTTGGAGATTTGTCTCCAGCTGTGCTGTTAAAACTCTCCACCTCCGGGCAGAGAACATCCTCAGTCGAAGCTA